ATCGGAGCCATTTGAATTGGGAGTGGTTGATTAAGGTGAAGAATTAAGGAAGCATTATTTATAATCCCAGAAATGTTAGGATTAATGCGTTTCAGTTGGCCGGATTTGACCGGCGGCGAGTAGGCTTGGAATTCTTCCGTTTTCAAATCAATCATCCCACCTGAAAGGTGTGTGGGAAAACTATTGGGTTGATGCCTTTATTTATTATTATTATTAAAATAATAATAATTGGGTGGATTGTATTTAGATGAACGAATTTCCGTAATGATACAATAGTGTCCACTTTGAGCCTAAGCTCTTTAGATCTTTCTCTTAAATTAGTCAATGTAGAATAGTTTTTTCAAATGGTTTCATACCTAGAGATAGTGTTCTATACCTACAAGCTCTTCCTCTTAATCAGTCAACGTAGAACTCTCATCATCCAATTCATATGCTATTAATTTAAAAATTGCCATTCGAATTATATATTTTTGGTTAAATTATATTTTTAATCTGCACAACTAAAAAGCCCTAAATTTTGAATTTTTTTTAAGTAATTATTCATGCTAGTTCTCAGCAACATTTTTGCATTGAATTGACTAAAAAAAATTTCTTAAACTAAATCAATAAAGATATTATTACCATGTAAAGTTACAATAAATTGATAAATTCAACTAATAAAAGATAATATTATTACGTAAACATAAAATTAATTGTTAAACTAAATTAACTAATAGATTATACGGAAAAATTATTTAATTTAAATGACACTTTATTTCAAACAAATAAGAAAATAGAGAGCATTTAAAAAAAGGATAATAAAATAGGATGATAACCCACCCTAAGCTCAACCCTCCAAACAAATACCCCTTCTAAGGTTCTCATGCCCATCGAAAATCAAAATTGATATTAAAAAAACATGTGAAGAAAGAATAACTTTATATGAAAAAAAAAAAAAATAAACCATCCACGGTAGCCCTATTAGCCCTATTGCAAAGAGTGGGCCCCATATCTCAATTCTTAGAGAAAAAAAAAAAAAAACATAAAAATCAAACTGATTTCATCTCAACCATAGAGACGAAATAGAATTAATTCTTAAATCGTACTAAATTAGTCATTTAACCTAAAATATCATATGGAATAAAAGAATTTACCCTAGAATGTATCAATTTTTACTCCAAACTTAATTTATCAAGCTGTAATTTAAACTAAAACCGGTATTATAATCGTTACGTTAAACTCTCAAAAAAATTGCAAACTTTGCCTCCTAACATATTGCTTTCCTATGCCATCAATGAATATGAAATATATATAACACAATATGAATGGAACTTCATAATTAATGCTCAATGCTAGAGTTACTGATTGATAGAATTATTTAATAGTCGATTATGAGTATCCATCAAACTTAACTTTGTGCAAAATAAAAAAAAATGTAAGTAGTTACACATATATAGTATAAAGTTCAAATATCAGTTGTACAAATATGATTAGAATACATTTTAGGGGAACTAATCTGTCCTGTTTTTACCTCGGTTCCTTTTTTTTCCAATTTATTTTATTCCTCAAACAAAATCCTGTTTTATCTCCTTCCTCCAAAAAAAATTAATTGACAGATTTCTTCCCAATCTTAGGAATTTCATTGACCCACCAATGACTTGATTCTTTCTTAATTGGCTACAACGCCCAATGTTATCTGGTTGGATTTAACCATTCTACCAACTATTTTGGTTCTTTTTCCCTCTCCAAAATCAGCCCTCTACTAATTATCTGAACAAATTCTTTCCGTTCTCAGAAAAGCTAATGCAAATCATAAAAGAAAAAACTATTGAACAATCAGAGATGGTAAATAGTAAAGAAAAAACATAACAAAACCAGATCAGTAGCGATCAAAAACCAACATTTTACTACTACAAAAAACTTCCAAGAACTAATTTGAGCAATATTCTTTATAATTTAAAAAGGGAAGTACCTGTATAAGGGTGTCGTGGAGATGCTCGATCGATCATCACGAACTATATATGGCATTAGGCATCAAATGGTTGAAGCTTGCCCTTAGCTGAGCCTGCACAAAATCTATGCTAACGATATCGACTGCTGAAGGGAAGACTATCACAGACATAAAAAAGAAAGGAAATCAAAAGGGAATAAATATCATGGAATTTGATGCCTATCTTCATATGAAAAAGTAGAAGAATCTGCAGCCCCACATGCCGGAAAAGTTGAGCATTTTTTCCTTCAACTTTTGTAATAGCACGTGGAGCATTGCTATGTAGAATTATCTCATAGTGACATTTATGTTGGTTTTACTGATCATTACATTTCGCATTAATCTCTTCCTAATCAATATTCTTAAATAATACCAAGACCCAACAAGTAGTCCAACTGGCTCTTTGACAAGAATATTGTATCTGATCAATGGAGCATCCTAGTTTAACGAATACGATCAACACATGTAGCGTTGTCAGGCACTTGGATACTCAGACTGAGCCAAAACATCGAAAGTATTGAAAGTATAGTCACGAGTATATCATACCTGGGGTCACTTATGCTTTGATACTTGCAGACAGATTTTCCAGCTACTTTAGATCTCAAAGAGTCTGACAAGGAAGGATTAGTGACAAAAAACGAGGCTACACCATGATATGACAAAATTAGGAACAAAAGTTCAGTTGCGTATTGGTTTCATGTTAAGGAAAGGAGGAGAGGCACAGAGTGCAACTTTGTCAAATGCTCAGAGACCAACAGTGAAAATATAAACACAATAAAATAGTAGCTGACTTCATTAATAATGACAAACATATTACAAACTACACAGCTAAACAATTGCTACATAATTCTTGACACATAAGACATCACATAACTATTCGTTATTAAGCTTGAGCCAACTTATTATCGCTTTCCTTCTCCAACAGAATAGTGAATAATTTAATTAGAATTAGTATTTATTCAAAGCATGGTTTTGCACCAGCATTTTGGTCAAATCACCGCTAAGGTGGTGTGACATGATTTCATTAGTAGATCCGACCAGCTTTCCGCCGATGAACACAGCTGGTACTGGTGCATTGCATCCCAGCCTCATGAGAGCTTTCTCTATTTCCCTGCAATCAGGGTCTTGGTCAATCTCATACACCAAAGGATTGACTCCAAGTTCCCCAAATAGAATGTTAACTGCATATGATAGGCAGCATGAACTCTTGCTGAATATGACCACACTCCTCTCTGCAACCAACCTTTTAACCTTATCCATGCCTTCTTCTTAATATGATAGAGTTTTCCTTGCAGATGAAATGAAACCCAGCAACAAAAGTACACTAGATATCTAAGGTTTCTTTCAAGTTTGTTTAAAACCTTATAACCTTTTTGGACCAAATTTATTCAAATTTGGTCCAAATATGGTTATATAGGCTTTAAATACTGAAGGAAAAATGTGCAAGAGAAAACTAATACCGATGCTTGCTGTATTATGAGTTTGAGCTCGCATGCAAGACTATTTATAGAGACAATATAAGGAAGATTGCTTTCTTTTTATATATATATTTATATAAAAGAACGTTCAAAAGAGTTTGTGCTTTCCTTAGATGCTCAAACTAATAAAAGCAACTTTTTAATTTTACTGTTACAAACAGGCTGGAAAAGTTGACAGGTCTTTTAATTCAGTGGGCAAGACTATTTTATGATGCTGATATACGAATAATTAACCATATGATATATGTAGATTATAATTAATCGCACTTGTATTAGTAATGTAATTAAGTGGCGATATTGATCCTATCAATCTTTGTCTGACGTGTAAAAACAATGACCGTGTCTTCCACTTTGCAGAGTTTGTGGAAATGAGAATATAGCTATCAAGAAACAATAAAACAAAAGCAAGAAATTCTGTAATGCCAGTCAATAAATACCAGATTCTCCAATCACCTTCTTTGAATCCTTACGAAGAAAGGCTTCAGTGGCTGTAGTTCTCTGTATTCTGTCCACCAACTTGTATGATTCCTTCCATGTGGAGCTTGCTAAGCTTCATTTACCTAACAGAGTTAAGTTCCACAGCCTGGTGATCATACAAATTGAACTTTCCCCCTTTATTCAATTGCAGAGTTCTCTGAAAAATAATAGCTTCATAAAATCTTCTCCAATGTAATATCTAGTATATAACCATGCTCATACTGTCAACAGAGCATATCCTGTTCTTGGTTACATGTACAGACACGCTCTATTGATACTTTAGATGAGTGTACATATATACGTATATAGCATTGAACATTAAAGCATAATGTTTTTTCCTGAGCTGAACAACACTTGGGGGTGGGGATTCAAACCTCTTACTTTTTGGTTGAAAACATGTTGGCTGCACAATAAAGCATAATTCAATGCATTTATTGATTTTGTCTCCAAAATTGGTTTTGGCTCAAGATATTTAAAAGGTTCATGGCAGGCACAAAAGTTACAGCATCACCAGGTTGTCCCTGAACTAGTAAAGGATCTAAATAACTAAATCCGAAATGTTATGCGCTGATCAATCAAATTAACCCCAGCCACAAGTGATGCCTAAACTAGATGACTAGTATCTGAAGCTCAATTTGTAAGGCTGAAATGTTATGTGCATGTCTTTATCAACATGCCTTGCCTCATAATTAGGTAATATGATGTGTACAGACAGGTTATCAGTCTGGCAGCAGTATGAAGATCTAATGAAAAGCACAACCGTCAACAAGTACACAGTTTTGCCAATGACAACTTCAAACAGTTCAATTTGCAAGAAGAGATTTTTCTTCGCAAGTGCATAATTCCTCAGTGGTGCATCTTCCTATTTTAATCAATGGTAGACTTGAAAAACAGAACTACCAGTTTTACCCACAAAAACCTCTCATACTGCTGACCTGTCTTATTATTCACTTTTTATAACAAAATCAGTCAATGAAGACTAATCCTACGTAGACAGTGTAGTGTGCTTGTTGGAATCAATATTTAATATTTTTTCCGTTTTCTTTGTAATGCATGAAGAGGTAAACAATATCGAGTTCAAGGAAAAGATAACCTACATTTAGATCTCAAGGGTAAGTATGGCTTCATTTTATACAGTTCAGTAAGTAAACTCAAGAACTATCAGAGCCTTCTTACAACATTTTGTACGAGCCTTTTCAACATTATAAAGGCAGGGGGGAAAAAGGACAAAACGAAACAAAGAAAGAACCACCTGGTTTAGCTTTTTGTAGCATTACAACCAGATGGCCTTCGCATCTATCAGCATTTGTTTCAGATCCCCATTAACATGGAGAGAAATAACATCTTTTGCTGAGCCTATAAATTTTCCTCCTATGAACACAGCTGGAACAGAGGGGTTGCACCCTAGACCTCTAAGAGCCCAATCAATTTCTCGCCCATTTGCTTCATGGTCAAGCTCGTGAATAGCAGGGCTTGCACCAAGCTCATAAAAGAGTGTCTGGATGCTATGGCATATGTAGCATGAGCTCTTGGAAAAAATCACTACTGCTTTCTGAGATGCCAAATTTCTCAATCTATCCATTATAATTCAACCACTCTTCTTCCTTCCAAAAGATATTTAAAACCAAATATCTAAAGATAGGTGAAATGGCTGCAGTTATACTAACAAACGCAGGAGGAAAAGAGAAAAGCCAAAGGCTTGTAGAGGAGCAAGGAACAAGAAGCTGAAAGAATGGGAGTAAGGTTGTATGTTTGCTTAGGCTTTGACATGGTGACTTTGCATAAACGAATGTATTTATAAAGGCTGGTGAAGGGCTAGTGGATTGAACTGTTTAGTCGAAACAATTTGGAAGACATAAGTAATTGGATAGAAAAGTGCAAGTTCCTTCAGATAGTTGTTTTGGATAAGGAAAATGGCCCTTATCGATGATTTGCTTGATAGTGACCCTCTTTTCACAAACAAAGTTGCATATGGCATCACTTAATCTAAAGATGTATCCTTCAATCTATGTAAAACCCCGTTATAGTTGGAATAAAGAAGATACAAAACATAAAAACATTACCAGAAAGCACTTCTATTTGGCCAACTGGGGTGATGACATCGGCCATCAAGAATATCAATAATTTCATAACTAGCCTTAATGAAATCTCGAGCACAAAATATGGAAATAGAATTTGATTTATTATAAGCTAAGTGAAAACATCAATAAAATCTTTTTACAACCATCATTGATGGGAAGTCTCTCCCTTTGAAAGAAGGGTTAGATGTCGGTCTCTTCATATCAGAACAATGTCAACACCAATTCAATTCACACTTGAAATTTGTTAGAAAGGAACAAAGCTACGAGGACATGGCATCAATTCATATTGGACATGCCTGCAACTTGAACAATGCAGTGAATTCTACGTCTGCAGCTGATGTGGAGATTAATAAGAGTTTAGCCAGTTCATTTCCATCAGTGTATTCATCGGTCCCATAAACATATGGATCAGAACACCTTAGTAGGACATCAATTATCTCCACCCCCTCCAGGAAGGAAAGTAAAATGGAAAAATATAAAACTGAATGACGAAACTCGGACAGATTCTTACATATCTCCATCAAACAAACTTTTGAGGCATTGAGATGTTATTTCTAGTAAAATATGAAGATAAAATGCACGATGCTCACTGGTATATTAAAAGCAAGGGTCACCATTTCCATTGATTCTCCCTCATTAAGATTCTGCTGCAAACTTTTTCTTGTCATCAGTTGAGGATAAGGCCAGCATTTCAATTAACCCCTACACCATCCTCTCAAACCCTCTTTATTTCACCTATAGAATCTTAGATATCAATGCATCTTCATCTTTGTTCTACATGATCTAAAATGCATGAAAATTCCAAGATGGGAATATTCTACTAGTTTGCTGCGATCATTTAAAATTGGGAATTCATAGATATCACTGTGCTCAAAGCTCATTAAATAAGTAGTAAACAACATGATATTCAGATTTCTCCCTTAGTGGACTCTATTTTTACAGTTAGCACTCAAACAAATCTTCAACATTTAGCCAATATAGTGTAACATATTTTTAAATGATAATAATAATAAAAAAATAAGTATATTAAGTATCTCTACATATAGGATGAACTTTCAGTTTTGTAAACATCAATTATAGAGAGAAAGTTTGTCCATAAGAATATTATAGTTTTCCAAGTGTCACAATTTCCAAATTATCGAGGGAGACTTCGATAGAAAATTCCACCAATCAAATGTTTTGGTCATCATTATTAAATCATCGCCGCTTCTAAAAGCTTTAAAAAAAAAACTAAGGCAAATTAAATCATTTATATATTCTCAAACAATTCTAAAGTATATTCAATTTACTACATTTTCAACACTACACCGCTTCCCAAATATGAGGCTGATGTTAACTTGATTCACAAAATGGTCAATAATAATATGGAGTAAATAACATCCCAGAATTCTGAGCTAAAGCTTAATTATCAGCTCCAGAACCTGAGTTTTCAATCTATCATAAATTTAGTCATTTAATACATTCTCCACAAAAATCTTCTAAGTGAGTGAATAACATACATTGCTTGCCGCTCATAGTGTTGAATCCATTCAATCCTCCACAAAACCTATCTCGCATAATAATCTGGACGCGTCACGCACAGGCTGTGCATATCCTCATCCTGATACAAGGAATAATCTAAAGCTAGATAAGTCAGCTTCCAACTGGTTATATAAATGGTGGAGGAGGGAATGTCAACGAATGAAGGAGGCGGATAGAGATGCAAAGCGTGAATCTCAAGATTAAAGAGGTGTGACTAAGAAGTCACCATCAAAATCAACAAATTCAACAAGTCCTCCTTTGAAACAATTGAAAACTTCAGCTCTTAAGTTTCTTAAATCCGTCAGAAACGGAAGAAAATTCATCACAACAGAGCAAATTTAAGCGGTAATTGCTTACAGTGAATTCACTTAACAGATTGATAAGAAGCGGAGCCTTCTTCAAGTTGAGAGATTCCACTCCAATAATGTAAACGTATAATTGAGTGATCGAGATTCGAGAGAGCGAGTGAAACGAATAGTCTCCATTTACAAAGATGCGGCGCTGTCTTTTCATGCTCCAAATTTTTCAATCGCTTTCACCGCCTTGGCCTTTGTCTCAGGAGAATTCGAGTTTGATGATAAAAATGCGAGGGAAACTTCATGATCAAATTATGATGCAAGCCGCAAAAAAAAAAAAAAAAAAAAGAGGTTGAAATTGATTCCATCAATATGGAATTCAAGATTTGATCAAAGGATGATGCAAGCCTGAAAACGAAAAGTTGAAAAACCCGTTGAAAATTGATTTCATGGATATGAAATGTATGTGTCGGGTATCAAATCTTTGTTTAAGAACCCTCATAAATAATTAATATATATTTCAAATAAATAATGTTTTAAATTTTTTATTTTAACTCTCTAAATATCTCCTATTTCTTTTCTTTTCAATATAATTTCTATTAAAAAAAAACTTAAAACATTATAATAAATGTAATAATAATTCATAAACAAAAATATAATATAATTTTCGCACATTCGAAATGGGACTAAGTGGAGATTTGGCTTATTCTCAAAATTTTATTTTAAAATAATTTTAGTAAGCTTTTACAGGCGAGATTTATTAAATATATATTTAATTTATCCATTATAAAATACCAACTTACTTAAAATTTAGAACCGACTTTGGGTTAAACCGACCAGAGAAACCCGGGATTTGAGCCGACAAAACAAAACCGAACTTCTGCAGTTGAGGTTGCATACATAGCCGGTCGGTTCAAACCGAACCAATTGAGTTAAGTGGTCGGTCAACCCAAAACAAACGGACCGGTATTCAAGAAGTAGTGGCATTTTCGTATTATTCTTGAACTTTAGGGTCTCATTTTAAGGTAAAGAGACTACAGTCATGCCCTAGCGTCTCTCAGTTCCGTTTCTTCTTCCACCCGCCCATCACATTTCAGCTTCATTTTTCCGTCTATTTTGGCCCTAGCTGTTGCTGCTCTGCTCTTCGTATTCAATTTCTGCGGGAAATTGGTTGATATTCAAAAAAGAACGCTTTGCGTGGGTCGTTTGTTAAGTTATTCTTGCAGAAGATATTTGCTGAGGTAAATTTTGTCATCTAAATCCAATTTTTTTTTGTTTTGAATTACTCTCCTTCCCCCGAATGAAATCTGAATTTCATTTTCATGTTTTTGTATTCTTCTTTTGGTTGCTTGTTAACCATGGAATTGGAACTGGAACTTTCCAACTTGAATTTCGTCTCTAATATTTGAAGTCGGTTCTGGATTGTGGTTTTTAGTTTTAGAGCATGTAAAAGAAAAGAATGAGAAGACATTCTTTAGATCATGGTGCTACTGGTTTCTGAAATTGATTGGTTGTTGTTTTAGTTAATTAGATTGTTGATTGGAGTATATAATGTGCTCCTCGTATGGATTTGTGTGAACATATAGATAGATGTCAATAAGTTGTCAAGGAACTTGTAGAATTTTAGCGCAAGTAGGTGTCCACTGTAAGGTTTGAATCCATTCTGCTAGAGTCTCTTTACGTATCTTTAGATTTCATTGAACCTTATGGAAGACTAAAAACGTTGACGTTAGAATCCATGAATCTTGGTTCCAAGTAGTTCCATTATGTTCTTGTTCCAAAGTTTTTTCTTGGCTTCAAATATTTGTTTCTATGGAAGTATCAGCGTGGTTATGATATTCAATTATTGGGAGGATTGGTAGAGCAATAGTGATTCCTTTTGGCCTTCCTACCGTAGAAATTTATTAGTCTACTAATTCCCGCATTTCATGTTTCATTTACTTTGTTGGGTGTCCCCATCTTCTAGCTTGGGTTTTAGAACGCTCTTGTGTGATATCCCACATTGGTTGGAGAGAAGAACGAATCACCTTTTATAAGGGTGTGGAAACCTTTCCCTAGTAGATGTGTTTTAAAGTCTTGAGGGGAAGTCCAAAAGGAAAAGCCCAAAGAAGACACTATCTGCTAGCGGTGAGCTTGGACCGTTATAAATGGTATCAGAACCAAACACCGGGCGATGTGCCAGCGAGGAGGCCCTTCCCCAAAGAGAGGGGGTAGACACAAGGCGGTGTGTCAGTAAGGATGGTGGATCCCGAAGGGGGTGGAGTTGGTGGGGGTCCCAAATCGGTTGGATAAAGGAACGAGTGTCAGCGAGGACGCTGGGCCCTGAAGGGGGGGATGGATTGTGATATCCCACACTGGTTGAGGAGGAGAACGAAACATCTTTTATGGTGTGGAAACCTATCCCTAGTAGACGCGTTTTAAAGTTTTGAGGGGAAACCTAAAAGGGAAAGTCCAAATAAGACAATATCTATTAACGATGGGGTTGGACCGTTATACCGTATCTGATGTGATTTGGAGATGCCTGAGCATTCGTCCTTGTTCTTCAGTCAAAGGATGCATTTCAGGCAAATACATGATTAACTTGCAGTAATGGGCTATTTGACATAACAAGTTCAGCAGTACACCAAATAAATAAAACTAACTATTGTTACTAAAGGAATTCCTACACACAAAATTATTCAACTTCTCTGTAGGAACTAGGAAGTAATAGTAGTAAACATCAGCTCACAATATTTCAAAATTGAAACATTTTCTAATTCGTACTTCCTAATCTGCTTTGTCAAGGGAAATAAACATAACAAAGGAGCTGCCCATCAATTGTTAATTCTCAGTTAGCCCCGCTTCCCCCAAATTTTTAATTCATAATTGCATGATGAAACCATTTACAATTCAATTCCCTACCCCACCACATCACGCCCACAAGGCCTCAATTTCCACATTTACAAGTAGCTTAAAGGTTCAATTCTTCTTGTTAATTTGTGGTCAGAACGCACTTACTGGAGCTATATCTTTTAGACTAATCAGCTATTTAATGACTTGATGGGTGTTACATACTCTTTTTTTTTTCGCTTTTATGTATCAGGAATATGGAAGTCACTCAGCAAATAGAGGACACATCATCTGAAACTGTCTCAGATACAGCAGCTCAAGAGAATCATGAGACTCGTGATGAAATGCTTTCAAGACATGGGTAAATTAAAATTTGACACTTCGTCCTGCATCTTTGGCTTTTCGTCTTGCTGCATGTGGTATTTATTGTATTTGAATTATATATTTTTATTCACCATCACCCCACAGAAGGGTTGGCTACTTGATATATAGTTCCAGCTTGCTTTAGGATTGTAGTCATCTGGGGCAATACATTAAAAACATATCAAGATCCAGTCTCTATTGATTAACTTGATTTGTAAGTCTTAAAAAGCTCACTAGATCTTTACGCTCTTTAAGTCTACCAGGCAGCATTTCAACTACAATTGCTCAATTTATACATATTTTTCTATGTTCAATTGCCCCAGAAATGAAGCTTATAGGATAACATATAATTACTTCAGTATGAGCACGTGTCTAAGACGTATATTAATATGAAACAAAGGGCTTTATCATGATTAATGCCTCGGTACAATTGGTGATAAAGTTTACTTTTGCGTTTCAACTGCATGGAGTGTTGTTAACATTTTGTGCCTGTAGTGCTCATAGAATTTGTATTTATCGTTATTCATATTGTTGTGCAATTACTTCACCTGTATGCAGGAAAGAAATATCACAGTTACAGAACAAAGAAATCGAACTTAAAAAGGCAGCTGCTAGAGGTAGCAAAGCTGAACAAAAAATGAAGAAAAAGCAGGTGGAGGAAGAGATATCTCAACTTTCTGCAAAGCTAAAAAAGAAGCATACCGAAGAACTGGCGTCCTTAGGCTTCAGTGACAGTAATGGAAATGAAAAAAACAATATTGAGAATCTAGTGAAGGCCATAGCCGGAGTATCTACGACAGGTCAGTCCGATCACTCAAAGCCAAGCAAAAGCACGAGACGGAGGGAGAAGAGGGCTCAACAAGAAGCAGAAAGAGACCGAAGAATTGAAGAGGAACAGAGCAACATTGTGAGTGATAGAATGGTCGAGAATGAACAATTGGAAAAGAAGCTTGGACCTCTTGGTTTGACTGTTAACGAAATCAAGCCAGATGGGCATTGCCTATACAGAGCAGTCGAAAGCCAGCTAGCCCTCCTTTCAGGAGGTTCATCTCCATACAATTACCAAGAACTTCGTGAAATGGTAGCAGCTTACATGAGAGACCATTCAACTGATTACATGCCATTTTTCCTCTCAGACAACGTTGTAGAAGGTAATTCCGATGTTTCGATGGCTGCAAGGTTCGAAAACTACTGCAAGGAAATCGAGTCAACAGCAGCATGGGGCGGGCAGCTGGAACTTGGTGCTTTAACCCATTGCCTTAAAAAACATATCATGATATTTTCAGGATGCTTCCCTGATGTGGAAATGGGGAAGGAATACAAGTCAGACGGCGTACTAAACTCAAGCATTAGGCTGTCATACCATAAGCATGCCTTCGGACTTGGAGAGCACTACAATTCTGTGGTTCCTGTATGACCATATGAGGGTATATCATGAAGGGCCACTTTACTTTGGCATCTATTCTGCCATATCTTGAGCCTAGAGTCTGTACCCATAGGACAAGAGGTGTGGTAAAATATATAATGTTCTTTTTGTTTCCTTCCATAGATATTTAGTCTTCCTCACATTTATTCTTCGATTAGCCAAATCAAGTTCTCCTGGTTATAACAACACTTTCATGAGCTGTTTTCTGTTTTTTTCTTTCTTATGCTACACAGGCTTTTACTGGATTGAATGCAAATTTCCTCACTCATATGGAGTATATCTCAATTATCCAAAGAAATGGCTTTGAGTGATTAATGTTATAGTTTAAGAAGTTACTCTTGACAACCTGATTATCTTTGATTCAAATCTCAAAACATATATGTTCTAGGCTCATTGTCTAGTTTTGATCTTATTTCATAAACAACACATCAATAAAAGCAATCAACCAATAGTTGAGCTTGAGCTTGCAAATATGAAAGATGTGGAACCTAAAACCCCTTGATGCAGAAAAGCTAAAGAAAAGGTACCTCATCTAAAAACTGAGAACAAGAAGATATGTTCCAACTGTTCACATCAAGCAATACCACTTGGCCAACAGAGAGAGAGAGAGAGAGGGAGAGGGAGAGGGAGAGGGAGAGGTGCTCTCTCTCATGCAAGAAGATTCTATGCCTTAATTGGGAATTTTTGTTATTCCTGATCTCATAAATTATCTTGACAGTTCCTGCTGAAAAGATTTGCAGACTATTTTCATTTGCCCTTTCAATGAAACAAGAGACAATTGAAGGATAAGTCATGTCATCTTAGCTAATGGGTAATAATTCCTCCCTTGGAATTCATTCCAATTTTCATTTGGGCTGACATGGAATTGTAATCAGAAAAACAAGGAACCTTTACAACCTTTTAACTCTCAAATCAAAACTTAAGAATCTTTATCTTGGCCTTCGCAAAATCTTCAATACATTCTCCTTCAGATTACAAATTTTGTATCAATTTTCATGTTTGTAACAATAGGTTTATAAAATTTTAACTAAATATCTAATCAATCTTTGAACTTGGTTCAAAAATTGTGTCTAACAAATTTCTAGCATATTCAACCTATTTTCAAAATTATCAAATCTATTCAACTTAAAATTGAAATGATCAATCCAACACATCATAGCTATTAGGTCACTTAACTTCTTTTTACATATAGACTCAAATTCTAAATTTGAATCATGTAGCCAACAAAAAGAGAGAAAAAAGAGTATCATAAAATTTTAATGTCATCTATTACCATGCTAGATCATCACTAGGACCAACTTTTTATATAAGTTTTTATAAATTTAATCACCAATTAAATTCGCAGCACATATGTTTTTATCAGAATATAGAAGCATTTACCGACAGGTGATGCAAAAGGCGAGAGCCAAGAAGATCATTTGGTGGGACCTTCAATTGGTCATCTCCTTCATGTACGGCTGCTAGGAAGATTACCTTTACCAAAGCATCTTTATTCTCCAAGATCTGGCTTTTTCCAGCCTTTCCCTGCATTGTTTGGTTTACAAATGGCTGCCAAATCTTGCACAGGAAAAAAGGAAAATCCAAAACTTCTTTAGAATTGGATAAGCCTCAACAAGCTCTTATCTCAAACTAAGAAGATACTCCAAAATATGTTAGGCCAAGCCAAGTTCAGCAATGTGAAAATGACAAGGAAATAGAGAGAAAAAAACAGAATAAAAAGTACAGAACAAAAACAAATATAATGAAATGTTAACAATAAATGCCAAATAATAAGCCTTGACCTATTTAACAAATGGTAAATTCCAATATTCTTAATGGCTAAAACTAGAAGAAATGGCTCCAGAATTTCACCAATCTTTCACTCATTCGTCCAACTTTGATTTGTGCATTAACTGTCTCTACATTTTTCCATGAGACTGCACCTTGGATTATCAAATATCAAGTGCCATGAATGGTATTTTAAAAATCTGCTTACACAGCTTCCTGCAATACTAAAAGGAAAACCGGGCAGAGATTCTGATATTCCAACTTGCAGAAAATGAACAGACAACCCTATGACATGAAATTCCACCACAGTATAAATAGATCAAAGTGGGAGCTTAACACTCATCAACAAAAAAAGAAAAACCAAACTTCCTTCTTAACAGAAAGATCACATTTCCAAGAGCCATGGATATGAATGCAGTGAAAGGGTTGGTGGCCGAGAAGCCAGTAGTGATCTTCAGTAGAAGCCAATGCTCAATGAGCTATACAGTAAAGACACTCATATCAAGCTTTGGGGCTAATCCTACAGTGTATGAGCTTGATGAGATACCCAATGGGCATCAGATTGCGACACTGCTGCTTCAACTAGGATGCGAGCCATGTGTGCCTGTTGTGTTCATTGGACAGAAGTTAATTGGTGGTGCCAGAGAGCTCATGAGCCTGCAGGTCAGGAACGAGCTTATGCCATTGCTCATGAGTGCCAGAGCTATATGGATTTGAAACAAAAGCTGTAAATTCAGCACAAAACTCTTGAGAAATATGCTGATAATACACATTTTCTCGTTTTTACTTCGTTTCTTCTTCTTTTTCTCCTTTTTCTACTTTGTTGGTTGGTTTGGGGACTCTTGACTCTATTTTGACTTCCAAAGTTAAGAATTGATAGCACTTTTTACCCTCTTGTTCTTCATATAACACACGCTGATCATGCTAAATAAAGAGGGGATCCCTATAGCATTTACAAGAGACACAATGAATCAAAATGGCTCGTGTTTTCTTTCTCCAATAAATGCTCTTCTGCACCTTTAGAGAAGTAGCATGTAATAAAACAGATTATGGAAGTAAAAGAAAAATAAGAGTGGAAATAAGCTTGGTTTCATATGACAATAGTGACTTTGGGAATAAGAACTACAACCACCCATGACAACTTGACAAGTACCTCAGCAATAAGAACTCCCTTCCTTCTCCCATTTAAGAGTTTTTAAAAGATCCCAGAACAGTCATCCCCACCTTTTAGCTCATATTTACACCTTTGTATCCCAAATTTGCTACAAAGGTGTAAATAGTTGCTAAGATCCCAAATTTCAGAGAAGTCTTGGAAATCTAGAAGGAAAGGAAGTAAAAATATGGGATATTATGTCAAAGTTAATAACAACAAGGAGACTAACATGAGGCTCTTTTTCTTTTTTTCTTTTTCGCTAAACCACTCAAAGGGAACAGACTAAACAGAGAAGGAAAAGGAGTAAGAATTTCCAACTTTAGTAAGAAAATGTGTTCTTACCCTAAAAGCACTACCAAACGCTAATGAAAACATTTTTCTTCTCAATCATTCAAGATTTCCTTGGATGACACTGAGCTCCATTGAATTAGTGGGAAGTATTTTCACAAGACAAAAAAACTTAAAAAGAAAAAAGAATGCCAAAGATGAAAGGGAGCCCTGGATGAACAGTTGGGAGGAAGAAAGTAGAAACCAAATGAGGCTCTTCATGTGCTAACCCATTACAGAATTCTTATAGTTTTAGAGAAGTGAACTTGATGGTAGTATGCAATTTACACAGAAAAGTTTTTTTAAGAAACTACCATACATTCAAATTCTCTCCAAAATGAAGATCGAAGTCCCTAGTTCTTTCCTACAAAACGACTAAATAGTTCCCTCCCTTACATCACACTCCTAATCACTGTCTTCCCCCATGTGTCCTATCACTACATTCTGTTATTAACAGAAAACAGAGGAAAAGATCTACATGTTCTTCTTCTATGGCTGCTATACACTTCATTCCCACCATGTTTGGATGGTCCATAAAACTTCCTTTAAACGAATGTCAAACACCCTGGAGGTTCATTATCGTTATCAATTTCATATTCTTTAGTACAAGTTTACTTCAAGTTTAGTGAATGTCACTATTTATTCTAATTTTTGTTGAGAGTTTCATTAAGAAATTACACAAACATGTCTTTCAATATCACTATGAAAACAGTTTCTTTCCTAGACATGATTACTAGAAATATTGCTTTATTTTAAAATACTTGAATTCCTCCGCCAATTATTTACTGCTTCCCGAACAGTGGATTGTGCCCAGCGCATCTCCTCAGCAGAAAACTTGTGTTCAATAATTCCCAAAGGTCCAGGTTGCAAAACCCTTATGACAGTTTCCATCTCTTGCTCCAGTTTCCTATACAAAGGAAAGGAAAGCATTAGGAGATGTCCAGAAACAATTAGATAAGTTGTAAAGTTAAGGCTATCGTGCACTTTTCTAGACTTAAGAGTTAAAAGCTACTCCACACTTGAATCAGTATTCACTTACTCAAAAAAATTCTAAAAAGCTCCTTCATCATCTAAAAATATAGGTTAGATAGGAAACAAGAATTTTCAATAGGCTACTTCTTTAAAGCAAACATCTTACTGGGGTAACAAGGAACATATCCGCTAAACACTGAGTGCGACCTGTAGTTAGAACAGGAACTCAAGAAGAACCATAAAACACATCTAATATGTCATCAAAACTAAATACATAGAACATACTAAAATCATAGTTTCACATCAAAAAATAAAAATTAAAAAAAAGTTCATTTTAATCCTTATACTTTCTAGATACAATTTTGATACTTGTACTTTCAATAAATCTTAAATTTAACCCCTGGAAGATTTTGGAAACATATTGACATAGTGCATTGCATAACATTATTACTATTGTTATTCAATCAATTTCAATAAAGTTTAAGTTTGAATGACTAAATTTAAGATTTATTCAAAAGTATCCTAACTCAAATTAAACATTTGAAAGTAAAGCGACTAAAATTGAACAAGTCTAAAACTATCCAAACCAAAATGTTATTTAAACCGATAGATAAATCATATTATTCCAACAAAAGCAAAGTATCAACGATTTTTCAATCAAACTATTTAGCACCTCTCGGGAAAAAGAAGTAAAAGAAGTCACAAAAACTCTAACAAAAGCTACCAAAATGAAGAAAAAAAAATGCAGAGACATCGACATAAAACTGTTGTAAAAACTGAGATCACTTCAGTCTCCATGGCATCCTTAAGACGAAGGTTGAAATAATCATTTCTTGTTCCTAAGATCTTACATTCACATAAAGTTTTCAGCAACCAACGATGGTAGGAATTGCTAGAAACCAGTTACGAGGGATTACCTGAAAAGGCCGGAGAAGGGGATGGATTTTCCCAGTCGAGAAAATGAGAGAGGCATATCTGAGGACTGAGCTTGTACTGTGTCACGGCCGCGTTGAGAGACGGCTTATATAATGTATCGGAGAACGACGTCGTTTGTATTTTTTGTCATTTTAAAAAGCAAATTAAAAACGAAATGGCTGAGGATCGAACCCGTGTAACATTTTACCATTTCTTTAATGTTGTTTTTATTCAATTAATTATTTTAATTTTTGAAATAAAAACAGAATTGTTAGCTAATAATCTCCTTTTTCTAATATTTAATACCAACTTTTAGAAACTATCACTTCATTTTTCTTATACGAAGAAAATCAAAATAATTGATGGTATCCATTAAAATTTTAATTAATTAAATATATATATATATATATATATATATATATATATATATATATAATAAACTATATGAGGAACATAAGGTCAAACCCAATCACTTCCACATGAAACATAAGCCATGGGATGCCAATTGCTTTGTCCCTTCTGTCTTATTCTCATTATGACAAATATGAGATGATGTTATTATTATTAAACTATATATGGGTCTCTATTTTGTATCAAATTTAATGTAATTTTGTAATAATATTTTCATTTTGTATGGTATGTATTTGATATTATATTCATGGAGAGCTTAATCGTCAAATGATTCAACCTCGAGAGCACTCAACTATAAACTTTTGATTTAGTGGTTGTCTCGAGTCAGAACCTTTAACTTGTATGCAAAACTCAGAGCAGTACGTGAGTCTAATTTAGAGTATTGTGAAACAATTCAATCCATAATCGGCTTGAATATGAGAAAATTGTGTAAGAGTCTAAGCTACTGCTAATAGATATTGTCCGCTTTGACCTGTTACGCATTATCGTTAGCGTCTAATAGGGAGAGGTTTCTACACTCTTACAAAGGGCACAATGTGGGATCTCACACGTTGAGAAAAGGACCTTTTCTGGTACGAGAGGGACTTCGGACACAAACAGATCAATGCCTGCAATTGAGCATTGAGACTTGCTCACCAAAAAAGAAAGAGAAAAAAAAAAAAGCATCAAAGGGATTGGGATGAACAATAGCAACAGCCAGAATCAACACTCAGTAACTATCAACCTCACTGGATTATACTATACACACTTACTTTCACTGATCAAAGTTCATTAGATTCAAAGTCATGAAATTGAATGTCGCCTTCTCTTTTGAAATGGGAACCGGTTTTCGGAACTGTTCTTCGTCCCGAACGGTTTGATGCTGTTCATCCTGAAAAGAACATTGAGCTTACACAATTTCTTGGTGAATGATTTGAATAGCTTGTTTGCAGGATGAGACTTTACAAGCTCCTGCTTCATAGAAACATGGTCCTTTTCCAGGTCAGTCAGCCTCATTCTCATTCGAGCAACTTCGAGTTTCAGCTCACGGTTCTCTCTTCTAACCGATGCGTAATTGTCTCGTGGAGAGATGGCTCCACTTCCAGTGCCACTGCTCGATCGTAGAGGAAATTGGCTACTATTGGATGACCCGAAAAAGAACTGATTGTGGCTGCCATTCATAGCATTCCTCAACCTGATCTGCTCAAAGTACAGCACTTGTACTGCAATCTGCACAGGTAGCCTTTCATTTTGTGCAGCATGGCTACATGCTTCTTGAGATAGCTTCTGACAGTCGATGGTTTTGCAAAGGCGGCAACGCTCGGAGTCTTTGATGTTCGGATGAACCTGTGAAGGATTATAAGAACATTATACTGCGAAATTGCAACAGAGGAGACAAGTGAGAGAGATGCTTACTTTGAGGTAGATATCTACAGCTCTGTACAAGGCATCGCTTACCACCCGAGCATGATCAGGCAGTAGTTCTGCTAATGCTATGAACTTCGATGGCATCAAGTTCGAGTCAAGTGCAACTTCTGCTAAATAATTATCCAATAGTTTAGAAACCTTGAGAATCGCGCTTTGTTTAGGCGAAACAGGATTGTCGAAATCACACATCGTTTCACTTTCGTCTCTCAAGTGACAATCGTAGTTGTCATCGTCCTCATCCAAGTTTAGAAAGATGGAGAAAATCCTCACTACTGAATCTGTATCATACATGCTGCTATGGCTGCTCCCACGAGTGATTGAAGGAATTAAAATGTCCTCAAGAATAGCTTGGTCCAATTGCAAGCCCATCCGTCGCTCCAAGTCTGACCTGCAAGAAGTCGAAGCCGAAGCAGTAATTGCTGTTTTCAACAAGCTCGAGAGAAAGACCATGGGAACTGGGCTCTTCCGAGACTGCGTCGGTAACAAGCTAACAATTGGCTCCACAATCACCCGATGTTTCTTTTGCAGTTCCAAATTTAAGGAACTTCCCTTCACCAAATGATGGTCCCTAATAACAAGGCCTTGAAGAGAGTTATGAGCATAGTTTATCAAAATCTTGCTGATCATATCCTGTTTTAAACCCTTTGACTTCACGGCTGATAAAACCCGTTGGAAGATATCGAGATTAAGCATGCTTAGTGACTTCCCCCACCAATCCGATGGCGTTTCGGGTTCGATGTTAAGGGCGGTTTTAGAGGGATAGTTATGATCTAACTTTAGTAAGCCAGAAGTCAGCTGCTCTTTGCAAGCATTGCTAGCAATGGCATTGATAAGTCTGCTTACCAGATTGATCTCTTCTGACAAAGGTAATAAACTTTCGCAATGGTGAAGAACAGATATCGAGTTCGATATGTTCGAAAATACCATCTCCTTTAGGTATGTTTCAGTTCTGGTTTCCAAGTTTCTGTCTGCAAACTCTTCAGTCATCTCCAAGTAATGAGAAGCACAACGCAGCATGGCAACATTTGATAATGTAATCTCAACATTTATACCGTAACAGAACTTTGCAGTTAGCTCAAATGCCTCAGGCCCTCCAGGAATAGTAGAGAGGTTAACCCTGGAAGTTTTTGAATCTTTCGCTTCCAACAGTAATTTTTGAATCTTTCCGCTCCGAGAAACTAAAGGAAACTGCAAAAATATCGACAATTGTAACGGTAAGAGCGGAGCTGCTCGTTCGATCACCCATTTCCTTCAACTTCTACAATATTCGTTTTCGTTTTTCAAACAAAGCAAGAAAAACTATACACAGTTACAGTTGGTTCACAAGTTAATGCAATGTTCTAGGTGAATCTTTCTTGAAATTTCTATTATCTAAGCAACAAACCAGAACTAGAAGCATTATCAATCGTAATATCCCATATTGATATTGGATTGCACTAGAAAAATCAGATCGAGTTAAGCTAGATGAATATAAATCATAGAATTCGATTTCAAAAGATAACCGAACCCGATTTTCCTTACCTTATGAAGTGCAAAGCTCGAGCTTCCAACTTCGATCACGAGATCACTGGCGACATCAGAAATCGGCCTGCAATTTATCAACTGGTTAGAATGATAACAAAAAGAGAAGAATCATCCGAACGAATAAGCAAATCGAGCATACATGCTTGTTACTTGTTAGTGTTGGCAGGGACCTTGCAAGATTATCATCAGCCAAATAAAATTAAAAAGAAAACTTTCTGTTTGCATGAAAGAAGTGACAGGATTTTATCTACACCTCAAAATTATGGACAAGAACACTAGATTACATATTATCAAACAGAGTGGCCCATTCTGAAAAAGATGGACCTATTATTAAAGACGAAGGAAACTGATAAACAGTAAAAAGTTAAGATCTTGACTTATGGGTATCAAAATGGACCAACTTAGTATATAGAACATATCAACAGTATTCAAATGATTAGAGATAACCATTGGCCATAGGCGCACTATGGTTTAAGAGATCGATGAATATCATCTTATAGAATGTAAAGCCATAAAATATGTCATCCTGCGTCAAATGTTGTACAATTTCCGTCCTTTTGTGAGAAACAAGAGATAGAAAAACTCAAAATTAATTGATGATAAAGCAGGCAAATGAAGACAGAAATCAGCCTCAAGCCTCGTGAACTTGTCCTGTGGGCTCAAGATGTTCAAGGTGGTCAACCTCAAAGGTATGGATTATTGTTATTTTCTACTGTTTAGTGTTTCTTCCACACTTTTGAATCTCTGTGAACCAGAGCTTAGCTTGATAGAAAAATTACAGTCTAGAGAATGAGATGTCTTATACCATTCTAGAAAAGCTTGATCTCCTCAGAGGGTTAAAAGTGGGAAAACACGAAAGTTTAGCAAAAAAAGAATAGGACCCAAGCTTTTTGTGAGATCCTACATCGATTGAGGAGGAGAACGAAACATTCTTTATAAGGGTGTAAACTTCTCCCTAGCAGAGGCGTTTTAAAAACCTTGGGGGGAAACATGAAAGTGAAAGCCCAAAGAGGACAATATCTGCTAGCGGTGAGCTTAGGCTGTTACGAATGGTATTAGAGCCAGACATCGAGCGATGTGCTAGCGAGGAGGCTAAGCCCCGAAGGGGGTGGACATGAGGCGGTGTGCCAGCAAAGATATTGGGCCACAAAATGGAGTGGATTGGGGGGTCCCACATCGATTGGAGGAGAAGGGAACGAGTGCCAGCGAGGACACTAGTCCTAAAGGGGGTGAATTGTGAGATCCCACATTGATTGGGGAGGAGAACGAAACATTCTTTGTGAGGGTGTTAAAACATCTCCCTAACATACACATTTTAAAAACTTTGAGGAGAAGCTCGAAAGGGTAAACACAAAGAAAACAATATCGGCTAGTGGTGGGCCTGCTACACTTTTTCTCTTGTCCTAGCTAGAGCAAGATAGAGAATCCACCCTGCCACACATATCAAGACGTTTAATAGCTTATAATAAGCTTGTAAGAAGGAAGTTCAGCAAAACGTGAAAAAGGAGTCCTCCAATTTTCACCTATCCTGCCATTGCTAACTTCCCAACTCAGATCACTCTACATTATTTCTAGCCACAGCATGCCATTAGTTTCACCCGGTCAGTCTCTTAGTGAAGGGAGCTGACAATCCAACTCTGTTGTTTCCATGAAAACACATTCAAGTATTGATTTCCAAATCCAACACTCCTATAGATCACCACTATTTCAATTCCACAACAGAACACTCATCATTCCAGATTCTCAA